TTTCGCCGCCTTCCATTTTTCCTTTCTTTCTTCGGCCGTCATCAATTCTGATCGTTATGCTTACCTTTTGTTTTTTTGTTTTTTTTTATTTTCTTTACCTTTTTTTAGTGGTTCTGATTGTTAGGTTTTTTGTCTTTTTGTTTTTTATTTTCTTTACTTTTTTTAGTGGTTGATTTCACTTTCTTTGAGTGTCTTTTTCTTTTACTTTCTTTACTTATTTTCTTTGGGTTTTTTTACCTCTTTTCCTTTCTTTATTTGTTTTACCTCTTTCTCTTTTTCATATATTATACTGAGCACATTAGAAATGAGTTTTACCTTAAACTGAAATGAGTAAAACGCTTAAAAAAATGAACATACACAAATGAACTTTTGAATTTTTGAATACTCATTTTGTAAATTATGTATGTTCGTGTAGTATCTCTGACTCTCTGTTATGCTCATTTTTAAAGTGTTTTAGCAATGCACATTTCAAAAGTCTCATATTACATTAGATTTATATAAGAGTTGATTATAAACATGAGACAACAAATCATGATACTCAATCACAGATTCTAATACTCAATAACGGAGGCTTGATGCTCACTGAAAATGTCTTGATGCTCAACTAAAAAAGCAACTAACAAATTCATTAATACTCATTTTGTAAGTTACGTATGCTTATCGGAGACTGATCATATGTTCATTTTATAAATGTCATATCAATGCATTTTAAAAGTACTACGGAGTATTTTATATTAGACTCCTAATACTCGATATAATAGGTCTGGTGCTCATTAAAAGTTCATTATTACTCATTCTCCAGAAGTCGTGATTTTCATCTCAATAGTGGAGGTTGATGCTCATTTAAAATGTCATGATGTTCAACTAACAAACCTTACGATTTTCATATAATGTGCACTTTGTAAGTTATGTATGCTCATTTTTGTACTAATGTTATGCTCATTTTTAAAATGTTATATCAATGCATGTTCCAAAAGTATCATATTACATTAGACTCGCATATTGAAATTAATAGGAGTAGATTATTGATATAATTTAATAAGTTTTTATAAAAGAAAAAATAACAAAAAAAGAAAAAGAATTAGAAGATGTGAAACAGAGATCATGATACTCATAATTAGCCTTCTAATACTCGATAAAATAGGTCAAATGCTCATTAAAAGTACATTATTGCTCATTTAGCAGGAGACGTGATTTTTCGATTAAATTACAAAAATGCCACCGTTAAAATAATTGGCCCCTTTGCTTGTTTTCCACTCCGGACTTGTTGTTTATGGGGTTTGCTCGTTAATTATTGTGGGCCTCCATTATATTTATTAAATTTCATTTAAATTGGGCTGAAGCTTTAAAAAATTGAAAAAATACTCGGATGTACGGTTCCCACCCGTACACCCGGGTGTATTATATACGAACTGCCAAATAGTTAGATCCATTTGGAAAGGGGGAAAATCCAAATTGAACAATAAGGTTATCCACGTATTTCAGATTGACTGTTAGGATTGAACATGGAACCAACGGCAGAGGAAGCGTTGGGCAAGGTCCTGCCACGAGTCTATGCTTCCTTCGGGGAGCACGTTGAACCACTCGTACGCTGGCCCTTCGAGAGTGGAAAGGAACCAACGGCAGAGGTATTCATCCGATGTGTTCACCATCAGCATGTTATTCTGATAGCGACTGAAGTGCTCCTGAGGATCAGAGCAGCCGTCATAGGGTTTGATGGTGTTTCCCCTGTACTTCTCGGGAATGGGAGCCGAGAGTACCCTTGCAGTGAAGAGAGTCATGGTCCGGACCTGGATGATAGGGTCACCTCGTCCCTCAGCCAACTCCCTCTCCAGGGCGCTGACCTTATGCGTGAGTACGTTGTAACCAGGATCCCCGGAAGTGTTGGCCGTGGGGATGGTGGCCGATTGTCTGGCCTCCATGTGGGCCAGTCTCCTTTCCAGCTGGGCGATGACCTCGTCCCTAGGGTCCTTGGCGGTCATGGTGGCGCCTTGCTGGTTGCGCACGCGGGATTCGTGAGCCATGTTGATTCGATGACGCACATCATCCGCGTGCAACTTGCCTTTGCCTTTATCCAAGCGGGGCCGATACGCTATCCGGGATACGGACCCCAAGCTTTCCCTTGGTGAGACAGACTCACATTCACCAATCCGTCCCGCCATCCTCTCCGAAGCAGGTCGACAGCACGTGTCACCTAGCCTATTAAAGGTTGAGGCTTTTCCACGCGCTGGGGTCGGTCCAGCTCGAAGTGGGGAAGCAGGGTGGGAATGGGATGACGACGTGTCCTGGGGCACCACCCCTTCGTCGTTGCCTAGCTTGATGGCCAACGGCTGGGGCTGAGGAGGTGGTGTAGTGTTCTCCCCGGTCCTTGGCATGAGTGCACTGAGGACGATGGGGTTCTGGGCCAGACTGGCGATGATGGCCGAGAGTGTGGCTTGGAGCTGAGGGTCAATGGCGGGAGAAGCCGGTTGCCCCGAGGCATTGTCGCCCTTCTGCAGGCGCTTCTTCTCAAGGCCGATGCGGGCATCAGGGGCGCCGCCGTTGAGCTGGTGGCACAGATCATTCGTGAGGTCGATGGCCTCCTGGAAAACATCCTAGCCCGCGGCCTTGTCGGCCGTATCGTCCTCCTCGTGTTCCCTATTCTCTTGGGCCTCAGGGATGGCCTTGCCGAGGAGGTTACGGTTGGACTTAGTTCTTCCCATGATCATCTAGTTGTGCTTGGTAGCGACAAAGGATGCTAACTTGATTGAGTTCAGCTCTCAACGAGAGCACCAAATGATAGAGTATATATTCTAGAGAGAAGTGAGAGCTAGAGAGAGAAGTGCAATAAATTCTTGCTATAAATGATTTATGAACCCCCTACAACTACTCCCAGGGGGAGTATTTATAGAGGAAATTAGGGCTGGGCTCCCAAGTCTTGGGCTTGGGAGGCCTGTTTACAATTGGGCCACTATTGGGCTGAGTACAAAATATGTAGAAGTAACTAAGTGTGAAGTCCGGTTCTGGGAGCTCTCTGTGGCCGACGGAGCCATGGCCGACGGAGACCCGGTCGATGGGGACACCCGGTTCTCCAGGTTTCTGGACCATGTTTTGAGTTGATATCTTTCTGGCCGATTGAGGGCCATTTGGCCGACGGAGGCCCCACTGGGTGACAGTTGTGCCTCTTATTCTTCTGAGTATGTGAGTCCTGGGGTCTAGACCCATATACTCCATCAATAAGTAATACAAGTTTATTTGTAAGCTTAAAACTAAAAAGAAGTGAAAAATATGAAATATAAATATGATTTTTTTCTTAAGTTTTAGTAATTCATCTATTGAAAGTGTAATTGTGAGAAAAATTGAAGTTTAAGTTCTTTTTTAATAAAAGTAAAAGTATGAGATAGATTTGTGCTAATAATTCTTAAAAAACACTTTTTGTGCTTCACGAAAAGTCCCAAGAGTGCCACTTTTTGAAGAAAGCACTTCAAGTTCCTTGATGAGAAAGCACTAACATTAATGTTAGCACTTATAGTAATACTATCTTCGTCCCGCTATGATTGTCTCATTTTACCTTATCAGTCCGTCCCAATAAGATTGTCTTATACCAAATTTGGTAAAGTTTGTGTGGCTCTAAATCATTCTTACTTTATTCTTACTTTATCAATTCAATATCAACCACATAAACTACTTTTTATTAATTTGCGTGCCACTTCCTTTTATCCCATTGTTAGCGGGACAGAGAGATTACTATTTTGCGTTAAGGTAACATCAAGAAACAAATAATGCCATTTTGTGTTCATGTAATGTGTTTGAATGAGAAGAGAGCACACCTATCTAGATAATAAAAACCTCTTGGGGTGGTAAGGTGAGACCGTGAGAGTACTCATAGCTACAACATAAAAAACAAAATCAATTATTAACACAATCTATAAACAAAATCTTGTATGTGTAGTAGGAACACAAGTAAAATATCCTTGACACAAAAAAAGAAGGTTAGTCCTCCTTTTCATAGTAACTTGCGGAGTATTAAATTTTGAAGCATCCCAGCTATTTCGTTTGAAAGGGTATGTTCCTTTTCTTTTCAGAGATATTACCCGAAATAGAACTAAAACAGTTTGAAAATTCCAAAATGGGGCTGTCATGTTTTTATTCCCAAAATAGGACTAATTACTGCCATGTTTTGGCAATACCAGACTTCAAACATGTTAGTATTTTCTAAACATGTCAGTAATTAGTCCTATTTTGGGAATAAAAATATGATAGTCCTATTTTGGAATTTTAAAACTGTTTTATTAGTCCTATTTCAGAAACTTTCCCTTTTTTTATTCGATACTCGTGTCGTTACTTTTGCCCAAATATGTAACTTAAATAATAATAAAGTGATTCTTGCATTTATTTTATGAGTATTGTGTGGTGGAGAGTTGTACAGAATAGAGAGAAATATGTAAAAATGTGTAAGAATTCTTGTGAACAACAAATTCTTTACCAAAATGAAAAATGAAAGTTTATTTTGGGACGACGAAAAATATATTAGAAGTTTAATTAGGAACAGAAGGAGTATTCTATTACGGAAAAATTGATAACAATAAACTGACATGTGATCAGTGTTCTCATAATAATCTCGCATTTACGTAATCTTAAAATAATTTCACTTTGCAACTCATGTTCTCCCATTGGATTCCGATCGGTTAATGAACTAATGAAGAGACCCGGACAGATTTATGTTATTAATTACTCCGTATAAGATTAGAGAGACCCACATAGAATAGGGTTGCTTATTGGTAATAAACGGGAGCAAGTAAAGAATAAGGAGTAGGTAAGTATTCAGTTGGGATCATGCATGGAGATTGAGACTTCTCTAACAGTCTCGTTACTTTTTGTATTCTCAGTTGTAACTTCACCATTAATGCATTCTTGAAGTTCTGAAGGATTTTGCACTTTTCTTACTAATTCTTTAGCTATCTGCCAGTGTTCTATCATTAATATCACAACAGTCGCTTCCTGGAGATAGAAAAGTGGTAGTGGAATTGAACAACAACAATTAACATTTACAACTGTGAATGGTCTGTACGAGAGCAAGAATGGGGAATAGGGTGGAATTGCTGGAGATGAACTTTATCGTTATGAAAACGATGATGGAAACTACCGTTAATCCAGATTAGAGGATGATCAAGATCCCAACATAATCACCAGGCGAGGAATTCGGTCATCCCAACTTCTCTCAGTTCGCATTATTCGTCGCGAACTGTTTTTCCTCACAGTTCGTCATCGCAAGCCGTTTCTCTCATTCGTCCGTAGGTGTTCTTGCAGTCAGCATCAGTGTTTGTCGTTTCTCCTAGTTCACAGATGCAAAACATTACTCACAGTTCGCAGATGCAAAACATTACTCACCATCGGCGCTCCTCCCCCTTTGGATCGCTGCCGCCACCAACATCAGTCTCCTTCGGTGTGACGTTCTCCTCCAACTTTGCTTCACCAAGTCGGTTAGCCGGGTCTCTATGCCATACTCTCTCTTTCAGAATGCTCCACCAGTGTTCCCGTGATCGGCTCCCCTTCACGTGCAGCCAGTCCCTCTAGAGCCGCCGCCCCTCTCCGTCGGCCCTACCTTTGCTGGCCCTATGTTTGTTGGCTCACCTAGTGTCTCCACCTTCATGATCCCACCTCGCACACCACTAGCCAGCCCAGCCGGGACTCTACTCACGGAACTTGCCCAAATCATCTCTCATGTGGCAACTAATGTCACAAATATTGTGACTACCAAATTGTTAGCGCTGGAAGACTACACTACCTGGCGGACACAGTTCGAATCGTTTCTGGTTTCCCAAACTCTTCTTGGCATGGTTGATGGCTCCATTCAGGTACCACCTACTTATTCCATAGATACTCTTAACCGTCAAACTCCCAATCCGGAATTTTCCACTTGGTTGCGAATTGATCAAACAATTCGTTCTTGCTTATTTGCAACCCTATCTCGGGATGTTCTTATTGATGTTTGTGATTTAAAACATTCCTATGAGGTTTGGGAGCGGTTGGAGTCTCGATTTATGTCTGCTAGTTTAGCTAGATCTATGGAATTAAAAAGGTTATTTAATCAAATCAAAAGGAAACCTGATGAGTCCATGGATAATTATCTGAGAGAAATTAAAACTTTAACTGATGATCTTGCCACAATCAATTGCTCTGTGCCTCCTCGTGAAATTTTAAAGACTACTATTATGGGATTGGGACCTTAGTATGAATCCTTATTCACCGCTGTGTCATTATTTGGACACTTCTCTCAATTCGCATATTGTGTCACAATCAGAAATCTCCAGTTTGCAGTCGCTCACTTATTGGTTCATTACCTCTACATGTGTCATCAGTGGCGGACCTAGAGATTTGTCAGAGCAGGGGCACACTAGTAGTGTAATTCTTGGCCGGAAGCGGGATACTGATTTTACTTTAAGTACTAGTAGTGAAATTACTGGCCAAAAGCGAGGGCACTTGCCCCCCTAGGCCCCTCCCTAGGTCCTCCACTGTGTGTCATCGTCTCTCAGTCCACATGCATTCACATCTGCGATCAACTCACATCAGAAGGCAACGCGATCGAGAGAAGAATCTTCTTGTTCACAAGTTTTGTCGCAATACGTTATCATCATCCATCAAACATTACGTTGGAAGGATTGAACAAGTTTGATAGTTTCAGATTGGATGGTGTTACTTCTATGAAAAATATTCAAAATGGATTGGGAGTAGGATTTACCGGGAATGATAAGGGAAATGTTAGGGGAATGTCAGTATTGTATATACTGGTAAAGAGACCAAGGCTACATATGAGAAGAGATATGATACATCCGGTGTAGAAAGGGTGGTTATCAAAGGGGAGAGTATTGATAGGGACCGAGACATATTTATGCAATTAATAATGAGATCAAAGGGACCTACGTACAATAAGGTTATTGATAATGATATCAGTAGTATAAATAGAAGTAAGTAAAGAAAAAGGAGTAGGCAAGTATTCAGTTGGGATTAGGCTCGAAGTTTGAGACTTCTCTAACAGTCTCGTTACTTTCTATATTTTCAATTGTAAATTCACCATTAATGCATTCTTGTAGTTCTGAAGGATTCTTGAATAGTTACACTTTCGTTACTAATTCTTTAGCTCTGTGCCAATCTTACATGAATAATTCTACATTTCACAAATCTACTGAAAACAGTCTCATGTTTCATTTTTTCTTTTTTTTTCACTGTAAATTGTTTCTTTCTTTATTTTTACTAGACAATGAACCCGTGCGTTGCACGGGAAAAATTGACTCACATTACTCAAATAAAAAAGAGATTGAATGAATATTGTATATTACCTCTGGCCCGGGTAATGGTCCCAGATGAGTTTACGGTATTTGACATGTCATAAACTTAAGTGATCCTTGTTAATAATAATAAAAAATTTAGTAAATTAAATTTACATATTCAAAAATTACATTAAAAGTCTTGTAAAGTTGCAAAAAAACTCAAAGTTGATAAAAATTGGATGTATAAAGAAAAAGGTCAAGAAAAACTTACATTAATTTTCATCTAATTTTTCATTTCATTAATTAAATATATTTTAAATACAGAGTATAGGTTTTCTATAATTTAGCAGAATAAGAAAATTTAATCAGTTCAGTCAGAATTTCATAATTTCAGCAGTTTTAACCGATTATATATGTCAATTGCAATGTTACTTAACGGGGTCTTATGAATAAGTACTTCTTCACTTGACTTCCATGGATGCCACTTATGAGAGAATGAACTTTCATGCAATGGGTGTTTTTTAGGGGATCACCAAAGCGGTTCGGTTTGAGTAAACCAAATTGTACTAAATTGAACCGAAATCAAATCATACGCAATTTCGTTTGAATTTAGTGGTATGTCTTTGAAATCAAATTAAATCAAACTAAAACAAATTTAGATCGTGAGAAATCGAATAAGGTCGAGCTGAACTCAAATAGTCAATATATTCTTAATATTTTTTAAACATAACAAATTCAAATCGAAACGAATTGAATTAATCGAACTAAACCAAAACATAGCATGATTCCAATATGTTTCAAACCCAATTGAATTGATATTAAAACCGAATTGTAACCGATGTGCTCACCCTAGTATTTTTTTAATATAAATTTGTTACTCAATGAGTTTTATTTTATAAGAGAAATAATTCTTTTTAGACTAAAAAATATGTTTTTTTAAATTGAAGAAACTAATTTTTTACATTTCTATTTTATTCTTTTATCTACATTTTTATCCACTTAATTTTTGTAAATTTGGGCTACTTTTTCATATCCATTGAATCTATAAATTGTAAGGACATGTGGTACGTAATTACAAATTTGAATAACTTTCTAGAATTGTAATTGGATTCAAGTAATTATGGACGTTGATAATGGATTCCTTAATTTGTTCAAATTTTATGTGTATTCACCCTTGTGATCGCAGACATGTGGTACGATAATATATATGATACATAAAATGCATATCTTCATTATAATTCAAGTAAATTTAATGTTGGTCAAAAATTGTTCATCGCAAAAAGTCAATTTTCTTGTAGTGGACGATTGAATTGTATGCCTGTTTTGATTATATTATTATAAAATTGATATAGTAAGTCATTGCAGCTCAATTTTAATAAAAAAGTTATTGTACCTCGATCATTTGAGTCTCATGCATTGGTCAAGCATCTCACATTCAAACATCTCCTTTAGTATGAATTGTCTACCATATATAATAAATAACTTTATTTAAAGTAATTGCCCCAAATAGGATCAAAACATAGTTAAAACTCCAAAATAGGAGTTCATGTTTAATTTTTCCTAAATAGGACTAAACATTACCATTATGCCCTTAATATATAATTAAAGCCCCAATCCATCGTCGGCTATTGAAGTCTGAAGAGCAGTGAGCGAGCTTCTCTCCCTCTTCGCTATTTTTTCCTCCACCTTCGTCAATCGCTTCTCAGCCATCGCCGAGTTTGTCTCCAGTCCCGCCGCCTCGCCTCTCCAGCCGCGCCGTCTCCCCTACCTGGTTTTCCATTGTTGTCGCTGGAACTAAGAGTATGCTTCTATTTCATCCAAGGTAGGTCCTCTTCTTCCTCCTTTTCTTCTTCTTCTTCTTCATCTTCTCTTCTTCTCCTCCTCCTCCTCATCTTGTTCCTGGTGCTCTGCTCTTTTATTTTTATCAATGAGATTCTAAATAAAAATTTGATTTTGAAAATCCATATGAAGGGTTCGATTTCAACAAAGAACCGGTCAAATTTTTATTTTTTTAGATTTGGGACTTCTGGATATGAAATTTGAGGCTCTGTCAATTGTCCTTCGAAAATGCCATCCTTTAAAAATAATGACAATTTCATGACATTGCATTTGTTATGATGACAGTTTTGACCTGTTTGTCACTTTACTCTAAAATGACATGTTAACATCAAATGCAAAAATATGACATTTTTAGATGCAAAAACATGTCAGTTTTGAGATTACAACATGACATTTTTAGATGTAAAAACATGTCATTTTTGAGATTATAACATGACATTTTTAGATGCAAAAATGTCATCATTTGTCAAAAATGTCAAAATCATGGAAATTTCAAACATATAATACTGTCATCTCCAAAAATTGCCAATGTGTCTCCAAAAATTGCCAATCATGTGACTTTTTCAAAAAAGTTGATAGATGAACATAACAAAAAAATTAGACCGAAATAATTTTGAATAATTGATAGAACCGTGAATTTCAAATCCAAAATTTTTAAATAAAAAATATGACTGAAGAAGAAAGGAGCATAGAACAGAAGAGAAGGAAAAGGAGAAGAGGAAGAAGGAGAAGGAGGAAAAGAAGAAGAAGAAATACTTACCTGAAGATATGTCGACCTGAGCAGTGGAGAGGGAAGCAAAGCAAACCTGCGGACATGGGAGGCTGTTATGCGTTCGCCGGTGTCATGTTTTTTAATTGGGGGGCAGTTTAGTCAGATCAGTTTTTTTTAGTCCCATTTTTGACCAATAAAACATAGTAGTCCTATGTTTGCAATTTCCCTTTCATTTAGTCCTATTTCGACGATTCTCTCCTTAATTTAATGTTATGACTTGAAGAATGATTCAATGCAGGAATATGCGGGAATAATTGGAGAAATCAAATTGTCCACCTAATTCTTTTATATTATATAAAGATATAAAGATGTTATGACTTGAATAATGATTCAATACGGGAATAGACGGGAATAATTGGAGAAATCCAATTGCCCACTCAATTCCTTTATATTATATAAAGATCTCTAGACATTTGTTCATTTCTGGATCCTTTTGTTTCTATTTTGTTCCATATTATTTATTATTCTATTTCTAACTCTATTATGACAGTTTTTTTTGTAAAATTTCCTTTTTAGACATTTTTTATCATTTTTCATCCCGTACTTTTATTTCATTTCCCTTTTATGTGTTTCTTTTCTTAATCGTTTTATTTTTATTAAATATCTTTTTGCCACTTTACTTTTTGTTATATTTTTTTTCACTTTTTTCTTTTTTTTTTTTCTTCTTGTTACTTTTTTGTGTGTTTTTTTTCTTTCAGATTTTACTTTTTGTTATATTTTTTCTCCTTTCGCATCATCGTATTTTTCTAAGTACACATAAATTTCATCAACTATGAAAAATAATCTTTGCGATAAAAAATTAAGGAAAACGTATCGACATAGGACTCGAATGATGGAAATCTATCAATTTAATTTATCATCTTTCAAATCTTTGATTAATAATTCATTTATCTTAAAAGTAGAGATTTAATAAAATTCATAGAAAATATTTCACTAGAGCACCAGAACGGTGACTGCCACTAGACTACGATGGGGCACCAAAGTAGCGCCGAAGTGACGAAGCCTGATTGTTGTCATTGAGTAGAGTGATGATTGATTTTATTTTAGAGTCCATTCCTAAATAGGATTAAAAGTGGCAAAATTGCATAAATAGGATTACAGTTTTTTAATGGTTAAAGAGTCAAATAGGGCTTTGAATCGGTCCTATAAACTCAATTCAATCCCTGAACTAAAAAAAATGTCCATTTCACATCCCGAACCGGCAAAAAAGGGTTCAAATTTCATTTTTTAAGGTTAAAGAACCGATAAAAAAGGTCCAATTCGCACTCCTAAACGATTAAAAAGTGTTAAAATTGCAATAAATCGAAAATAAAAATAGATGCAATTAAAAAATTAAAAAAAATAACCGGTTATTTACCCGTAAAAAATGAAATTTCAACCATTTTTTGTTGGTTCGGGGTGTGAATTGAACCTTTTTTTAGTTCAGGGACTGAATTGAGCTTACACGACCAGTGCAGGGGCCTATTTGACTCTTTAGCCTTTTTTTAATTCCCCCAATAGAAGTATTTATGTGTGTTTGGACAAATATACTCTTGTAGCTTTTGAAATATTTTAATTAATAATAAAATCATAAAAATAATAAAACTCGTAAAAAAAACACAAAAATCGTAAAAAATAACAAAAAATTAATAAAAAATTAAAAAAATAAAAACGTAAAAAAAACACCGCCGCCTCTTCCACTCCCAACACCACCGGCTCCCATCACCAGAGAAAATATGCCAACATTTTAGATAATGCTATAATGATTGCAGATTCAATGAAAATGTTGGCATATTGAAGAGTAATGATGACATTTTCTTTACATTTTCAGAAAAAGATACGGAGTGGCATTCTTTTACAAACAAAATGGCAGAAGTTTCATCGATCAGAGATGGTGGTGCTGGGAGGCAGTGAGAAAAGTATCCATATTTTTTATGATTTTTACTATTCTTTATTATAAAAAAATTAAAAAAAATATTTTATAAATATTTTATTAATTTTAGAATTTTTTTGTGATTTTTTTTTATTTTTAACGATTTTTATTATTTTTTATGATTTTGTTATGGAAAGCATTGTATTATGAATTAATACCCTTAGGGCTATTTAGGGTAGAAAATCAATTTTTTGTCCTATTTGGAGAATTTAAAAGTAGTAATCCTGTTTGTGCTTTGTAGGGACTCTTTAGTCCTATTTAGGACAATTTCCGTTTATTATATTATTTTTAAATTTGTATCACAGAAATGATTATATGGGGGCAGTTTTGTCCATCTATTGGAAATTAAGAGCATCCATTGGTAATAAGAGTCCTATAAGGGAAATCACTAATATTTTCTGCCTATTAATAATACGGAAACATCTTTTATTTATGGTTACATATTTATTTAAAAAAAAATTGTACAGTGATATTAATATATTCCAATATAAGATCTTAATTTAATTTCTTTAATTAAATGTAACTTTCTTTTGGAATGAAATTTGCTGGTCTGGTCTAATCTGATCTGGTCTAATCTGATCTGATATGATCTAGTCTGATCTGATATGGGCAGCAAACATTTCAAAAGAATACATTCTAATTCAAACAAAACCTCGACCGACATGTGGCTAGATTCGCAACATACATGAGTCTAAGCCTAGGTTACATGTGCATATTTGTATTTCCATCCAAACTTTACATGCACTAACGTGAGAAAATCGGCGATCGACATAATAGATTAATCAGTTGATCAATTTATTGAAAATGAAAATAGTGGCTGGATTGATGTTATCAGTTATCCCTATATTTAAAAAAAAAAAACTTATCACTTGATCCCTTAGGTTATAATTTCTAATTTCATTCCAAAAAAAACGTATCACTTGATCCTATACAATTATCCTAACTTCTTCCTGTTGGTCGTCGGAGGCTGTTCCATTGTAAAATCTGTACTCATTGATTGCTCATTGAGTCTCCTCCCCTTCACTCCCATTTTTTTTGGAATAGTGAAGGGAACGCTTCAAGAAACTTGGTTTTTTGGTAAGGCTTGGCCTATCGGGAAGCAACGTCATACACCGCTGGCTCCCTCCTCGGGGTTAACCTTCCGGGTTCTGAGGGGTTCGAGGGTCGTTTCCTCGGCCCGAGACATAGTCTGTTGCCTGCCTCCCCTTGGGGGATGGCACGGAAAGCGCCTCAGTTTTGAAAGTCGTTCCCTCAGTCCGTGACATAGTCTGTTGCCTGCTTCTCCTTGGGAGATAGCGCGGGAAGCGTTTCGTTTTTGAAACTCGAATCCTGGGCATATTAGTTGCCTGCCATTCCCTTGGGGTAGTGGCTCGGAAAGCGTTTCACGGAAGGGTTTTATTTGCATATTAGTTGCAAATGGGCCACTTGGTGCCTCCGGGACCGATAGGTGGCGCCTTCGATATAGTTGTGTCCTCATGGGGAACGACTTCATTTTCAACACTTGGTGTCATATTCCACATTCTGTCCTCGGTACTTGGCACCGAGGGCTCGTCTTAATGTAAAAAACACTTGGTGTTTTTTCTTCTAATTTGAGGCTGATTCATATGTCCCCCCTCAGCACTTGGTGTCGAGGGGTCTTGTTTACATACTCTACTTGGAAAGCTACATTCCCATGAGATAAGGCCTTGGGCCTGGGGCTTGTATGAGGGCTTGGCCGCTCGTACTTCTTGGTGTCTTCAACATGTATTTATTCTTGAAAAATAGGAGGTCTTGGGCCGTTGGATAAGTATATTCGCAATTTATGAGGGCTTGGCCGCTCATATGTTACTGATAAAATTTGACCAGGTGGTGTACATTCCAATGTTTAGGGACCTCAGGCCCATTGGGGCGTTTTAGTTTGTAAGTCCCTGGTTTGATGATGGCTGTAACGACGTAGGGGCCTTCAAATTTTGGCGCCATCTTGCTTGTCTAGCTTCCCTCCTTCGGAGGACATAGTCCCCTACTTAAAATTCTCGGGAATGGACCTTGGCGTCGATGTAGCCCTTTACTTGTCTTCTGTAGTTCTCCGTCCGCATGAAGGCTTGCTCTCGACGTTCTGAGATGAGGTGAAGGTCGTGGGCCATATTGTTGTCGTTGACCTCAGGTTCATATTGGTCTATCTTTCGGGTTGGTAGAGTTACCTCCGTGGAGGCATTAGCTTCGAACCCATAACACATGGAGAATGGTGTTTCATCGGTTGCCCTCCTAGGGGTGGTGCGGTAGGCCCATAAGATGTTGTGGAGTTCTTCCACCCAGCCTCCCCATTCGGCTTCCAGCTTCTTTTTTAGCCCCTCCAGCAGAGTTCGGTTGGCATTCTCCACTTGTCTGTTGCCTTAGGGGTAGGCAACTGATGAGAAGGTGTGTTTGATGCCCCACGCCTCTAGGAGGGCACGGAAGGGGGCTGCCTCAAACTGAGTTCCATTGTCGAAGATGATTTGTTAGGGAACGCCGAATCTTGTGAGGATGTTTTTGAGGACAAAATGGCGGCACCTGACCTCAGTAATGCTGACGAGGGACTCAGCCTCCACCCATTTGGTGAAGTAGTTGATAACAACGATGATGTACCTGTTGTTGGAGGTACCCCTCAGCAATGGGCCTATAAAGTCAATGCCCAACCTGGAGAAGGGTATTGTTGTGCTAATGGGGGCATAGTTGAACGCTGGTCTGCCGGGAGCCTTCTGAAAATGTTGGCAGGCAGCGCACCTTCGGGCGAGGTCCGCACAATCCCGGGCCATTGTAGGCCAAAAGTACCCCTGCACTATGAGCTTTCGGGACATGGAGAAGGGTCCCTGGTGAGCTGAGAAAGTGCCACTGTGTACTGCCTCCATTGCAACCTCGGCCTCATCATGATGAAGGCACCAGAGTAACATGCCGTTGTAGGATCATTTATAAAGCCTTCCGTCTTCAAGGGCATGGCTGGGAGCGCTCAACTTTTCTAATTTCGCGCGGGCTTCATCCTCGGGTAGCTGCCCTGTGGTGATGAAGTTGACAATATCTGAGATCGAGTGCTCAAGCCTTTGTTGTATCTGCATGACGGGGCTGGTGTGTATGTTTGAGAGGCTGAGTTCCTCGATTCTTGCAATCTTTGATAGGTGCTCAGGGGACTCAGCCGAGAGCTACGATAAGATGTCGGCCTCAGAATTTTGAGCCCTCCGTATTTGAGTGAGGGAGTGCGCGTCGAACACTTTAAGTAGTTCTTTGGCCGCTTCTTTGTATTGTGTCATTCTCCCTTCCTTGGTGTCATACTCCCCCGAAATTTGGCCGACGACTAACTTGGAGTCGCACTATTCGTGGATCTGTCTGGCCTTCATGTTTGCTGCCAGCCGAAGGCCACAGAGGAGGGCCTCATACTCCGCTTCGTTCTTGGAAACTTTGAAGGAAAAACGGACGGCGTAGTAGGCGCGGAAGCCCTCAGGTGTTATGAGGACGACGCCTCCCCCGCATGCTTTGGCGGCCGAGGAACCGTCTGTATATAGACTCCACCATTCGTCCAGTGGTGCCGGGGGCTCCTCGTCTACCGCCGATCTCGCCGTGCACTCCGTCACAAAGTCCGCCAGGGCTTGGCCCTTTATGGCAGGCCTCGGACGGATGTCAATGTTGTATTGGCTAAGGAAGATAGCCTATTTTACCATTCGGGAGGAGCTGATGGGGCTCCTCATCAAAGCACCGAGGGATTGGTGTGTGAGGACCTGGACTAGATGTGCCTGGAAGTAATGGCTTAGCTTTTTGACGGTCCAAATGATGGCCAGCACGGACTTCTCCACGGGAGAGTACCCGAGTTCTACTTCCCTGAGGGTTTTGCTAACGTAGAATATGGCATGTTGGATGTCATCTTCTTCTCGGATGAGGACTGCGCTGATGGCAGCAGGACTAACGCCAAGATAGAGACATAGAGTTTCCCCTAGCTTGGGCTTGGAGAGCACAGGGGGTGAAGACATATACTCTTTCAGCTCGTCGAAGGCTACCTGGCACTCAGTAGTCCATTGGAAACCAATTGTCTTTCTCTGCTGACTTGGAAAGGAAACGGTTGAGGGCTTCCAGGCGGCCCGTCAACCTTTGGAGTTCTTTCACGTTGTGTGGGGGCTCCATGTTGATGATGGTCTGGATTTTCTCAGGGTTGGCCTAAATACCCGTTCGGCTCACCATATAGCCGAAGAACTTGCCTCCTTATACTCCGAGGGTGCATTTCTTCGGGTTTAGCCGAAGGTTAAACTTTTGCATGATGGTGAAGATCTCCCGGAGGTCGTCAGCATGGCTCGACGATTGTTGGCTTTTGACGATCATGTCGTTAACATAGGTCTCCATGGTGCGCCCTAGGACGGCTTGAAAGACTCTGGCCACCACCGCCTCTTTGGAGCCCGTCAACCTTTAGAATCCAGGAGGACTGACTGTGCCAGGCCTTTGGGTTATTCTTATAACCTCCCTCGGACTTGGCTTGGCCATGTCGGGGGCGATCACCCGAGGGGGGCGGACCTTTAGACTAGTGGAACAGAGCCCCTAGCCCCCGGTTGTTCCTGTCATGTGGTCTGGGGCGCTGCTGCTCGGGGTTTTGGTGGCATTTTTCTACTTCCTCGGCCTCTGCGTACCGGTCCCCCCGCTGTACGGCCTTTATGTAATTGTGGGGAGGCTCGATGATAAGGCTCCTTGAAAAGTTCCCGGGGCAGAGGACCATCTGCAGGAGAGCCAAAAGAGTTCCGTCGTCAGCATCGTCAACCTTATCTGTCTCCAACCTCTAGCGTTCCAAGAAGTCCCAGAGGGTTTCTTGCTTCAGTTGTCTCACCGTTAGTAGGTGGGAGAAGTGTTTCCTTGACCGGTGCCTTCCCGCAAACTGTGTCAAGAAACACTGGGCTAGTTCTTGCCAAGAGTCAATGCTGCCCTCGGGCAACCGGTTGAACCATTCGTACGCCGGTCCCTCTAAAGTGGAAAGGAACCAACGACACAAATACTCATTCGATGCCCCCATCATCATCATGTTGTTCTGGTACCTGCTATAGTGCTCTTGGGGGCCAGTCTTCCCATCGTAGGGCTTGATGGGTTGCCCTCGGCATTTTCCCAGAATCTGGGCCGCCAATACCCTTGGGGTAAATGGCGTCCTTGTCCGGAGTTGGATAATGGGTTCCTCGGAGCCCTCGGCAAATTTTCTTTGCATCTCCTCCATTTTGGCCAGCATGGTGGCGTATTTGGGGTCAGCCTGCGAGGTGGAAGCGGTCGTGTGCGCTTGGCGGGCCTCCGTTTCGTCAAGGCGGCGTTGGAGGGTCTCAATAATCTCGTCCCTGTGATCCTTCGGGAGGGCCTCCGCCCCCCTGCG